TTCCATGATTTGAGCTTCAGTCATTGTGCTAATTCTTTTTTCAGGGGCAGGTTTCTTTGGGGTTGATTGCTGTTGTTTGGCAGGAGGTGGTGGCTGTTTAGGTACTTGAACAGGTTGTTGGGGTTGCTGCTGCTGTTTAGGAGGATTTGGACTAGGAGTACGTTGTTGTTGTGGTTGTTGTGAAGAGGGGGAATAATTTGTAGATTGTTGAGACATTGGAGCTAATGATGGAGGGGGCTGTTGGTAATTATTCGACTGTTGATATTTTTCAGGAACAGATTGTTGTTGAACCTGATTGTACTGTTAGTAAAAAATAAAATAAAATAAAATTTGTTAAAATTTTAAGGAAATATAAATGTCTTAATAGATTTACATTAGAAGAAATTTGTGTTATAGAACTTTGATTTTGAATTGTACGTGCATTATTTGCGCTTAAAGTATTAGGAGGTCTTGGTGTGATCGGAGGACGATTAGGAGGAGTTGTCGGCTGCTAACGAAATGAAAAAATTAATTAAGTAAACAACGACACACGACAGGATGGATAGAATATAAGCGAAATAAAAAATCCAATAAATCTAAGTAATGACATAATCATTATTATGTCTAAAAGAATCAGGGTCTATTGTAACATTGTTTGCATTACTACCCACATTATTTATCGGTGATATCTTGGACATATCATATCCATTAGAACCATCATTAGGGCTAGGATATAATTGATTCTTTTGGGGCATATTATTATTTTTTGGTAATAGGTCAGCCCATTTATCATCAGCATTTGGAAACCCGGCAATTGGTCCTAAGAGGCCGTGTTGACCATATGCTTCTTGTTCTCGTTTTTGATTTTCAGTGTAAAACTCTAATACATCTAAAACAGCTTGAGGATTTTTTGCGTAATCCTCTTTTGTGATCGCCGATGATGTAAGGAGTTTGGTCCATTGCTCTGGCATCCCCTACATAAATTCATCGCGAGTATGTCAATTATTCAATTATTTGAAATAGTCAATATCAGTAATATTGGAAGAAACTTACGGTGAACAAACCACTGACAGGATCGAACCCTACGTGTACATTATGTACAAAGTTTGTTGGATTTGAAACACCACTGAGAGGTGAACGCTATATATTAAGAAAAATGGATTTATTATTATTATTATTATTATTATTATTATTATTATTATTATTATTATTGTTATTGTTATTATACAGATTGATCATAGTCAGTCAGAAATTTAAACGGAGACATCTGCCTAATATTGATAAAATACTATTATGACGTTTATTGATATAATAGTATTATTACGTTGATGTGTTATATTTTTGCATAGTATAAATTCACTCACTCTCACACAAATAAATAATTTTTTTAACACCTTATAAGCGAAACAATTTAAGGAATCATTCGAATTCCTTTAAAGTAGCTTACCGCATAAATTTCATCCATCCATGAGTATAGTTCTTCGTCATTTTTACAAGAAAGATAATAGGTTTTGTCTTTAGTTTGAATTTCGAAACAGTAAGGTTTCAATTCCGTCCGCGAAACACTATTAATCTCTTTAAGAAAAATCAACGCAACGGCTTGATAAGTATTCTGTAATGGCAAAAAATAGCAAAAAAATGTTGAGTTATTTTCTATATAATAATTTTTGAACAAAGGTCAGATGAGTTCAAAAGGCTACCTCGTTACGATGAAACGTAAGGGTCTGTTCTCTGAGTAGCATCCATCGCTTTGACCAAATCCATGCTCTTAAGCCATCCTCTTTCACGGAAATGTATCCCTTTTTAACAACGTGGGAATTGTTATTATTCATTGGGCACTGAAGGACTTACAAGATTCTCGAAAGACGTTGTGGACTTAAATCCAGTACGTATGTACGTACAATTTAATAAAGTTTATTCTCAAGTAATGTAATTCCGTGTTACCAAAAGGTTCTCAAACACATCCTGTATCACCGAGTACATACTTTGAATTATGTGACAAAAAAGGTATCAATTGGTGAATTTATTTGTTTATCAAAAATTATTATAATAAACAAATCTTCATTACTATGTATTAAAATAGTTTTTTTTTGCCTGTGGAAAATTTTATCATTAAAGTTTACAAAATTATAATATTAACACAAATTAGGTTTATAAGGTTGCAATAAAAAACATATGACAAAAAGTAAATAACTTTGAAAATTTTAAACTTATGGATTTCATAATCTAAACCAGGCCCCGGTTAACCTGCATCGATATCTTATCACACAAAGACTTTGATCAAAACGTAATCAACCACACAAATCAACTCAGCCAATCGATTCAGTAATTAATTTAAGTAAATTATATATCATTAACGATGTCTTATTAAGTCTTATTCTTTCTATACAGTATCTTAAACATACCCAGTTATTCTTACCTTTATTAAGATGCGTTATAACCCTTAAATCCATATAATTAATGAAATAATAATATTTTTCATACTTATTTATCGATATTTCACTTAATCCAACCACATTTGCATCTATTTATCTATCGATTTAACTCTAACATGCAAGGTATACAGTTAATATTAAGCTTATTATACGTCAGACGGCATATCTAAAGTTCCTTAAGATTAAACTTACGTATAATATCTAAAACGTGTAATATTTCAGACATCCTTATTAGTTAACCGTTTCGGGAATTTAGGCTTGTAATTACGGCTAGTATAACTATTAATAGTAATAAAATTTGGTTTTGCCTTCCAAATTAAGACTGTCAGTTTTTGG